AGTACAGCAGATCTAATGCACCAATTTAAATACTAGAAAACAGGTTGCACAAAACAAAATGACAGTGCAAAGCTCGCCTTTTCCTCATAACACATCGCAGTCATCATCTTGCAGAAACTTGCTATAATCAAATAGAACAGTGCAAGGAATATGGGGCCATCAGGCCATGGATCTTTCCAATAAAAAATTTATACATGGATTCTATAGAGCAGGACTTTCAATCCATCCACTTGGGCTTCATTTTGGTAGCTTACTAGTTGCCATTTTGCCAAAATTCTGATTCAAAAAGCTCAGAATGCCAGCAGCATACAAGTGCATACTACCGTTAGGATAATTGACCAATTGCATAGTCCATTAAAATTAACGGTCAAACAGTGCTATGCCTTACTAGGTGCAGCCTATACGCTTATATCAGTGCCAACAGTTGTCACTATTGGAATCAACATCAGCAAAGAAAAGTGGCAGTGGTTTAAGTTCAATGTGTTCCAGCCTCGATATTTATGAAATAAATAGAAATCACGCAACTCTAACTTCCATAAAATTGCAATCAGAACTGACTTCTGGTAACAAAATTTTACATAGCAACATTATCCACAACTGCACTACCATTAGCAAACCAATGCCTGATCTTTTCAGGATGATAAGTTATGAGCTTTTTCCTACTTGGACAGCTGGATGTTACTACACCACTTTTCATGGAATAAACAATAAAGTGATGAACCAAATTTTGGTTGATGTTGCTGGTTAATATAACAATAAATTCAGGATGCAAACAGCGTGAAACAAAAACACAAACTGAATTCGAGGAAAGAGCAGCTGTACCTCTCGCTGGTCCGGAAAACAGCCCCAGCATTTTCAAGCAATATCTTGAGAAGTTCAAGAGCAAGGATCTTCCCACGCATCACAATGGGATCAGCTGGAGCATCCTTGGGTGGTGTCTTCATGGAGAGCTTGCACAATGCCCGGAAAACCAAGAAAGCGTCTCTTCGCAGTTTATTCCCAATCCTCACATCAGCATCATCATCCAAAGCGCCCACCACTGCCCCCTCCACACCAATCTCATCCTTACGACCCTCAAGAGCAGATTTGTACATGTTGATCTCCCAGTACTTGGCGTCTAGCATGTCCTTGTCTGTTGAATCAAGCAAATCTGCTGGATGTGCCCCTTCCTCTGCTGCTCTTGTCTCAAATGCACCATCATGAGCCGCTGCTCCACCTGCGCCTGCAGCTGCTGAAGAAGTTGTCCGTGCCAGAGGTGTGATTGCACCATCAATGTCTCCAATGATCTTCGAGATGAATCCCTGTACAAAGTTGGCATCAGCGGCAGGCGAAGCACCAGAAGCAGCTTCAGGCAGCTCGATCACATCAGCCACAACGATGGGTTGCACGGGCACTGTGGAGGAGTCTGCCTCCATGCGGCGGAAAACGATCACCAACATTTGCACGAGTGACGCCTTGGCAGTGGCCTGGTTCACCACGCTGCGGCTTCCCAGGTACATATCATAGCAAGCGCGCACGGCGCGAAGCAGGCAATCTCCATGGAGGCGCACCGACGTGGAGGTGACCGCCGAGAGGAGCGTCTTGAGTAGGAGGAGCTCGATGTGCTCGTCGTCGAGGTGAAGCGCGTTGCAGGCGGCATCGAGGAGGGACGCGACGAGCTGGGCCGAGGGGTCGGCGGACGGGTCGGCCTCGCCATGGATGTAGGAGTGCGCGATCAGCCTGTGGAGCAGCTCGAGCCCGGCCTCGGCGAGCTTGGCGCTGCCGGAGCCGAGCGCGGAGTTGATCGGGCCGAGCAGCAGCTCCGAGTCCGCGAGCGAGAGGCTGCGGAGCGGGCCCGGCTGCGAGGACGACGAGGTGGGCGTCGTGGGGGAGGTGGGCGTGGACGGTGCCTGCGCCGCAGCCGCCGGCGGCGGCGGGTTCTGGAGGCGGTCGAGGATGGACTTGGCAGTGTGGGAGAGCTTGGAGTGCGCCTTGTTGCGCCACGAGGCGTTTTTGATGAGCTTCTCGAGGAAGGGCACGAAGGCCTCCACGAGCCGCGGGTCGGACTCCGGCGGGGTAGGCGGCGGCGCCGCCGCCGGGGAAGCCATTATTCCTCGACGGATCCGCCGCCGCGCCGGGTGGATCTGGATCTGGGCGTGGGGGGGGAGAAGGAGAGTGATGCGGTCCGGGGCTTTGAGGTGGTTTGGATCGGCTAATGGAGGTTGGGGGAGAAGGGAGAGAGATGGCCGCGTCGCGTGCGTAGATTTGGCAGGGGAGCTTCGGTGCGACGGGTCTAGGAGCAGTCTATGGCTGGTGGGGACGCGTACTTGTGGGCCCGTAATGTCAGTGGGAGATTACTGGGGGTTGCGGCTATTAATAAGGGGATAATAATACGCGGGTGATCGAGAAAGGGGAGGCGACGCCCAGTGACGCAATAGGGGCCGAGGAGTCAATGCGGAGGCTTTCATGGGCTATGGTCTTTGGGCTGTACCTAAGTTGGGTGACTAATGGGCCATCATAAATTGGGACCAGTAGAACCAGGTCCAGTTCAGCTGCAAACTTTTGCAATGGTTGACATGGATGGCTCACATGGCGAATATTGAGCGCTTCGTGGCCACGGAAAATTAGTATTCGCCATGTGTAGCATCATATGTTTAAGACCCATGGAATGATCTACAGTGATATGAATAAATAACACCAGGTGCGCGAAAGCACGCAATGTTTCTTCACTAACCTAGCCTTTTTCGATAACACGCAAGAGAGGCATGCGTACGTGGAGAATGATACATGTCGTTGCGTCAATTGACAGGCCAGGGCTTGCGGCAGGAGGTTGCTGGTCAGATATATATATACGTACAGTAATTAACTATGGAATACACAGCATAAACTACTATATGACCAAAGAACAGAAGAAGACAACTGCACGCCAGCATAAATAATTACTACTAGTAGTTATGTGAACATCGCATTGGCTGTGTACATCGGTTGGACGTAGAGGTTAGGTTTAATTATCCTATTTTGTAAAAGAAAAGGTGTGAACATCATATAAATTAAGGTATATATAGTAATTCTGAGCTACTCACTGGTAGAGAAATCATCTTTGGTCGGTCCGGCAAAATCCACGATAGTTCCACATCCAAGAAGAACCGGGACTAAAGATTATTTTTAGTCCCGGTTATAAAAATTTTGATCTTTAGGGACAAAAGATGATCTTTAGTTCCGGTTCATCCACTGTCAGATGTATGTCAGAGGGCCGAGGATCTTTAGTCCCGGTTGATGTCAATAACCGGGACTAAAGATCACCAACTACCAATCGGGACTAAAATTAAACACGTAGTATATAATCCCTATACCTTATTCTCTCCTCCACAGTTACAACTTAGACAGATCGAATCTCACACCTCTCCTCAAATCTATCCTCTCTAACTCTCTTCTCCAACTCCTCCCCTTCCTCCTCTCCTCCCCTTCTCTCCCCTTCCTGGCCGGCTTCCCCTTCCCATCCGGCGGGCCGGCCGGCGGCTGGGCCGCGCGCTGCAACGGCGGGCGGCGGGGCTTCGGGCGGCGGCGGCCGTGGCGGGTGGTGGGGCCGCGGCCGCGGCGGCCGACGGCCGGCGGGGCCGCGCCCGTCGTTCGTGGCGACCGGCGGCGGCAGCGGCTTCTTTTTTTTTTAATTTGTGATGATTCACTGTGATGTATTTGACTGAGAAGTTAGAAATTTGTGATTCATTGTTTGGATCTGTGATGTATTTGAGTAATTTCTTAGGATATTGTGATGTATTTGATTTGTGTGTATAAGTAACTTTATGATTGTGATGTGGATTTGGTGATGTGAATTTGGGATGTTAGTTAGATTTAGGGATTTGCCTACTTGATTCGGGAGAAAATAAAAATGAAAAAAGAAAAAGAAAAAGAAACCATCTGCACTGCCGCTATTGTCTCCTTAGTCCCGGTTGGTAAAGATGGACATCTTTAGTCCCGGATCCTTACTCCTGGTTGGAAAACCGGGATTAAAGGGGGTTCCCAACCGGGAGTAAAGATGGTTTCTCCACCGGTAACTCCTTGTATAAATTGGCTAGCTTAACATGGTCTTAATTGCATTTTGCCTTTAACTATTATTCATGCATACGAAGGTATATTCAAATCAACCACTTTTAAAACTGATCCATATATATCGACCCTCAAAATATCTATATAATGTACTACTTAAAATGTTGGTAATAATGATGGAAAATTCAAATGCTTTTATACCTCCTAATGTGAGACCTGAGAGATAGAGAGAGTAGACTTGTTAGATCAGCTAGCTGGCTATCAGAGACCGATATTGGAGAGTAGTACTAGCAACCATGCCTAAAGCTTCTTTCCAACTATAGGAAGATGGGAGTGGATTCTAATTCCTCGAGGGGATATCCTCTCGTATACCTTTTTCTTTCAAATTCGATGCAAATAGTTGTGAAAAAATCTAAAAAAAATTAATAATGTAGAATATAATGATACCTACTATTCCACCAAAATTCATGTTCAAATTCGATCTACACATCGAGAAACAAAAAAGACAAATTTAGATATAAACAGTACGCTACTATTCATACGCTGAATTTGTCTTTTTTATATCTCGACGTGTGAGTTGAGTTTGGACTTAAGATTTTGTGAAGTTGTATATATGTGTTGTATGAATGTTGTCAAATTTTTCCAGAATTTTTCATAACCATTTAAATGGTTTTTGAGTAAACGAGGGAACATTCCCTCGAGGGATTAGAATAGTTTCCCTAGGAAGATGGCCTCAGCTTTTTATTTTCAGCTGTACCAAGATGGACTTGGATCTTTAGAGTGGATAAGAATGGTTAAAGTTAACAATGTTCTCAACCTATGATGAAGTCAGAGGGGGTTACTTTTTACATCATGCACACCTAATTAATACTTACAGACTATATTTTATTAAATAATACATCGATGGAGCAGTATAATTTTTCCACGGTAGCTGATTTTAATTATAGCCTTTCCACATAAAATGCAACCATTCATAACTACAAGATGAGCACGCCCAAAAATTCATCCACGACCATCACAACTCACAGTTATTAGTCGCAACAAAAAAATGAAATCAGTTTTTTTTTCTCTTTCATTTATCAGCGGTTACTAGGAACAGAAGCTTCTTAAAATCTTTCAATTAATGGAACGGTGACAAATGCTACCAGTGACAAATGTTACTCCTACATGTCAAAGCTATACTACTACTGAAGCTCCCCCGTACCACCTTCCTCTCCTGCAGCCTGCAGAATTGAAGCAAAGCCGCATTGTAACCAAGCAGCAAGTGGGGCATCTTCTTGCACCCTCGGCTAACAACAAGGCGGATACGCGAAAACCGGCCATTGCTGCTTACCTACTCCTTGCTGACCTGCTCGCCATCACCGGCCCGTTCCAATCCCGTTGCTTGCTCTCCTCCTCGTCGTCGCGAACTCTGTCCATGCCGCACCAAATCTTGCGCCTCGCTCTCCATCGATTGATTATATCGATCGTCGTTCATGATCTAGAGTGCGGCGGCGGCGGCTGCTCGAGCTTCACTGCGGACCTGTGGCGATCCAGGAGCTCCCTTGCGAGCGCCTGAAGGTCTCCACCGCCGCCTCCTCCTCCTCCTCCCGAGCTCTCCGCCGCCGCCGTCATGCCGGACGGCGCCCTGGCCAGCGTGGCATATGAGGGCTGCCGGAGCTGGTGCTGCTGCTGTTGGTGATGATGGTGCTGGTGGTGGTGGTGCTGCTGCTGCTGGAGCGGCGATGCCCATTGCGGCTGCGGCGGCGGGTCGAAGAGAGCTGAGAGGTCGACGGTGGTCGGGACGCTCGTCGACGACGGGAGGTCCGAGATGGAGAACGGCGCCGGCATCGGCATCTGCGGCGGCGCCGGCATCAGCGGCGGCGGGGACGGCAGCTCCAGCGTGGCGAGGTGGGCTTGCAAGTAGGTCAGCTCGGCCTGGAGATTCACCACCTGTGGGAGTACATGATCACAAGATCGTACGTGGCAGAAACGTACATGCATCAGTACAGAAAAAACTGTTAGTACGTGCAAGGTTCAAATCACGCAATCACATATAGTAGATCACATGCATGTAATAATAATAACGAGATGAAATTAACGAGTTGAATTGTGCAAACAGATCATCAAATGATTGGTAGAAAAAGAACTCAAAGTTTGGATTTCTAGGACTAGAGATTGGCGCTAGGGCTGTTCTTTCGAGAGGTCAGATCGAAAACCAAGCACAAGTACTCCCACCACTTCGTGGATTGTTCAGAGCCCAAGATTTCACACGCGGCCAGACGGTGAACGTACGATCATATATCGATCCCGTCGATAGAGATCGATCGAGATCGGACGACGCGGACGGCGACGGATGAGACTTGCATATCATTCATGGCAGGTACTACCAGATGCAGGGAAACAGTCTCCTGGTTACACGCTTGGCGTGTTAGCCTCTTTTTCGCACTGCTCGTTGCTTGGCTTGGCCGTGTTGGTTTCCTCCATGGAAAGAGACCTTGCCTTTCTCGAGAAAGAAACACGCCTACTCCAGAAAATCGTCTTGTCCCCCCAACTGCTGATGAGCTAGCTTGAGGACAAGACGACGATCCAGATCCATACGCATCGATCGGTCCATGCATGCATGCACGCAGCAGAAGTAGACCAAGGATTTTCCAAGCAAATCAAACAATACTATCAATCAATCAATCAAGCCGATGGATCGATCAGTCGATATCAAACTCGTTGGAAATCAAATCATGGAGTTAAGCAAGTGGTAGTAGTACCTGCTGCTGGAGGGCGAAGATGTGGGCGACGCAGCCGTAGACGGGGTCGCGGAGGCGGGCCTGGGCCTCGTAGCAGATGGTGACGACGGCGTCGGGGCGCTTGTGCGCCGGGATCTGGAGGAGCAGCTTGGACACGTTGCTGGCGCCGAACACCTTGTGCACCGCCGCGAAGTGCGCCGCGCCCTGCTCCGAGTCGAAGTAGGGCGCGAAGATGCACCCGCTCACGCACTTGCGCCGCAGGAACTTGCACGCCCCGCACGGCCCGCCTCCTCCACCGCCGCCGCCGCTCGGCCCTCCTCCTCCTCCTCCGCTTCCGCCGCCGCCGCCGCCGCCGCCGAGCGCGCTGCTGGCTCCGCCTCCCGAGCTCATTGCTCGATCGATCTCGAGAGCTCTTATACCTGATGAGATGATCTAGCTAGGTAAACAAGTGTGTAGTTGTGTTGGTAGAGATCGATCGATCGATGGAGCACGAGAGAGGAGAGCAAGAGAAGAAGAGGAGGAGGAATGGTGATGGTATTATTATGGCAGTGGTAGAAGTGGAGGAGGGAAGGGCATATGCGTAATATGGAAACTGAAGTCGCCTCCCCGATCTCTCTCCTTTTGGTGCTTGTCCTATTGGTGGAAGGTCATAGGCACAGGGGTTAAGTTTCAGTTCCATTCCATCTCTGGATTTTTTGCTCTCTTTTTTTTCCCTGTTTCCTTCTCCTTGAACCTTTTTTTCTCCCCTCCTGACAGTATTCTCCTCTTCTCTTGCACCTGTACTTTGGCTACACTATACTACTGCAACATGCTTGTCGTACTGCTACTACTATGTGTTGTTTTGTTCTCGTGGTATTGATGAGACTTTAAAGCCACGGCATGGAAGAAGAGCCTAGCTTGCTGGTTGTACAACCACACCCGGCCCTCGCTGGCCCTTCCTTTCTCTTCCCCTTGTGATCTTTCTGCTAGCTCTTTCGCTCTCTTAAAAAGGGCTACTAGAAGATTGCGTGAAGCAAGCATGCATGCGAGGTCGAGCTAGCCATCCCATTTCGCGTCGACACATCCATCACACACGCACACGCACACTGTACCACTACTGTGTCGATCTCGCACACATTCCGCTGCCGCGTTCAGTGGCACGTCGATCGCGCGGCTGGCATGGCCGGCCGGCAGGCGGCAGCTGGCCTGGGTGGCCGTGTGACTGCGTGTGTAGTCTCCCGTGGCCACGGTCTTGCATGATCCGATCCCCCCCCCCCCCCCCCCACGTGAAGTCTATGGACTTCACTTGGCATCGATCGATCCTAGCTTAGCTTTGCTGCACTGCATCTGCATGCCGCTGGTCGGTCGCCCGGCCGGACACACGCACAGCTTGACGTCTTGGTCAAAGCTCAAAAGACTAGCTATATACTAGCACCCTGATCGATCAGAATGCGGCAGTGTGCTGCAGCTAGCGCGCACTGTGCATGCAGCCATACTCCTACGCATGGTGCATATGATCTTGGTCGCTCCACAAGTCCACATACAGAGACAGAGACAGACAGAGAGAGATGTACTATACAGGGAGAGCTACATGCCTACATGGACACGCAGGTGTATTTTTGCTTCCCGCACACAGAAAGTCAGAAAAGGGCTATACTCCTAGCTACATGCATGCACCAGGATTTTTAAGCTTGAGCTTGGCAAACTTAAGTTACTTAACAGTAGTTTCTGCGTTGATGATGCCGATGGGAAGGGTTGGATTAACGTACAAGTCCAGCCATTAGCAGTACATTGATAAGGATATTTATGCGATGCGCTAGCATGCAATATATTGTCAATAAATTAGGGGTGGGCGGGTATCGATAATTAACTACGTGTGAAGTTATCTGAAAGAAACACTAAACTCATACTGTAAGGTTTGCGAGCTCACACACTAAAGCATGCATTTTCCTTTGTACATATATACATGTTGTGCTGCTAGCTAGCTGTTTATACATGCATGACAACTTTTTTCCTAATAGTAATCTTGTTTTAGTGTAAGATCATTGTCCTGGTCGGGCTTTAGATTTTTAGAAGAAATCTCAAATTAAGCAGGGCCTTACAGAAGTTCATAATTACCCTCACAATGATATTGCAGTTACTAAACTTTAAGTCGTAGATTTCGGGGAAACCGTTGGATGCAATCTTCAGGAAAGCTGCGCATGTCTTTGTAACTTTGCTTTCGTTCGTTTGCAGGCTGCAGCCGGCATCAAAATGACGCGTGACTATCGACCGGTTAAGCCAGCCTATAATCAAGCTCTATATAAACTTGCACGAAAAAAATATATATCTTGACATGAATGTCTAGTCGTCTACTGCAGGTACTTGAAAAAAAAAGTGTAACGGATCGGATGCAAACTATTCATTCATGTTTTTTTTTTGAATGGAACCAGCACGAGAGTGTGCTTTTTCATTAAATATAGAAGGAAAAAAATACAACCTCTAGGGATAAAGAAAAGGCAAGATATTCATGGTTTGTTCATGCCTTCTGAGAATGCTATTTATCTTAGTTACTTCATCCATCCTAAAATATAGATTTTGATCCGATGTGTATGATACATCTAGTACTATAAATCTAGACAGACTCCCTATTAAGATTCATAGTATTAAGATGTGTCACATTCGATTAAAATTTATGATATTTTAGGATGAAAAAAGGAGTAACTATTTTGCCGTTACATATGTATAGCTAGCTAGCACGCACAGATGATTCATAAACTGTCCAACAATTTCTCCATGGCTTAGCTAGTGCCGCAAGCATGAACAATCATTAAGACGAACTTCTCCGATCCATTTTTATTAGAAACACTTCCATGTTATAATAGCTGAAGAAAATACATTGACGTCGAATTTTCTTCGACTATTTATAGAGTTTTTCCGAAAGCAAGAACGGTAGAATACAGGAATAAGAAACAATTATGTAGGACTTTTTTTTTATACCAACGCATGTGCTGATGTGCAAAATAGAAGATCAGAAAACATTGAAAAAAACATACGGAAATAATCACCAACTTGATAGACGACAGGAAAAACGAATGAGATTGGACATCAGATTAATTTTCCTCCAAAATCACCATGTGTTAAGCCATTCCTAAGGAATTTCACATGATTCTAGAACCCCTACTCCTTTGTTCCATAAAATAAAAAATATGGGGAAAATCATATGAATTTCCTTTAAAGACCATTTATCCAAAAGAAAAGCCTTAATTAGAATAGAGCAACTATGCATGATGTAAATTAATTAATTATAGTACCTATGCAGGTTGCCTATGCAACATAGGAGTATGCACACATGCTACTTTGAGTTCTTTCTTTCCACTCGTGTGGTCAGCGCATAGAAATCACAAAAGCTGAGGTCTGAGGCGTCGGCCCACCTCTTCCATTTCTCTATTGGTTTCAGTGAGCTGGGGAGTACTACCTCCTCGCAGAAATCCTGCGGGAGGTAATGGGTTTCAGTGACAAGATGTCAGCTCAGAATACAACAGGGAGACATCTGTTTTGCCGACAGCTAGTACAAAAATAAGGGAAAATTTGCTATACTGTAGTATGCTAATGTTAGATTGAAATTGTCCGATCGTTAATATCATGCATATATATGTTTCCAATCTTTTCCATGTTTTCATGTGATTGTCGCTAGTTTTGATAATCATGTTAGCCAAATTATTGTATTATGGCCAAAGGAAATGAGCAAAGAAAATTTTTCATCACCCTAGCTAAGTTGAGAGCACTACGACAACGACCACCGCCCATGCCAGTACAACTGAATGATTGGACCCAAAGCGTGACAGGCACCTGGGCATACATCCATGCCGAACCAAAGCCAGAAGTGTCCATTCTATTCCACCCGAAGTGACTTCAGTGTGGGGAAGGAAGAACCTGCTTCCTAAAGTTTCAGCACTACAGTACTACTTGGCTACTTGTCCTGTTGTCCAGTGCTCGATGGCATGTGATGTGAGAAACCATATGCTAATACTACCATCCCGTGCATTGTTAATATGGTCAAAACATCTTGGAAAAAGAATAGTATTATTTAGGCATGAGCTATGATATCTATAGGACTACAGACTCATGGATGCATGCTCTGACTCATAGACTCGCAGAGAACTAGTAGAGATTATGACAGTGATTTGTTTTAGAGTGGAGGAGACTTGCATTGAGGGGTGCCCTGCTCAGAGCTCACTGGTCACAGCTCCCAAAGAGATCTGGATTAGGACCTAAGGGAACTCCAATCCAGAAATAAACAAGCAGGGGCACATGCTTTTTGATGCAAACATTCTAAGGAACTGAAGGAAGGATATATAAAAGAGTAAAATGATCGATGAAGTGCGTTGGAGAAGTGAAATTCTACCTATTGTTTACAGTCTGTCATTATGATGGTACACGCTTGAATTTGACAGGGAAAGGGTCAACACGGAGTTGCACACAGATTTTTGCTTGTTCATTGATTAGCTTGAGGGCTTAGTATAATCATAGCTAGTTACTTCCGTAGGCATGAGGGTTGACGTTTACATTCTCCCAGAGAAGTACAAGCAAGTTTTTATAATGCTCATTTACCTCTCTTATAAACATGTAATGCCAGCAAATTAAAGTGAATGCGGAGGAGTACAAGCAAGTTTTTATAATACCCAGTTACCTCTTTTAAGTATGCATGCAATGTCAGCGAAGTGAATGAATGGTACTCACTCTGTTCCAAAATACATGTTCAGATTTATAACTAGAAATTGTTATATTTTGTAATAGAGGGAATAATAGATTCATGTAATCGGAAAGATCATGCTAAAATGGGGGAACAGTGTAAACAGTGAACCATAAACTTGATTCCAGAGTTTATGCAGTTGCTGACACGCAAGAATTCTAATTAATTCCATTGCTTTCCTTCATATCCTACATACAGTAGCAGACAGCATCACAGCAAGAGAACGGTCATGGATCACGTACCATTCCATTCATCCTCGAGTTCTGATCCAATAGGAAGTGCCCTTTCCGTGGCAGATAGGAGTAGAATTGATACCTGATGAAGACTTCACAGCTGAAACCTACGAAGGCGGCAGGTCACCTGATCATACCAACATGGCGTCAGCTTTCAGTATGTACATACTTCTCGTCAAGTCATGACACTTCAGTATCGACGAATATAATGTATGACGTCCACCTGATCATACAGACTCTGTCAGAGTGATTATGCGCCAATAAGCAGAAATTTATAGCACAAGGCAAGGTGGAACATAATACAAAACGTAAGATTTAAAGGTAGATGTCCTTGGAATCAAAGTATAGTGTCAATACCAAACTCGTGTTGCACATTTGGCGTAAGAAGGCAAATCTCCTCCAACTAAAAAAAAAACTGTGCTACGTATTTAGGGGTACATGTTGGGACAGATATCAAAATATAATTTCTATATTTAAAAAATGGAAATCTGAAGATGGCGTGTCACATACTCACATGGCTCCATTGAACAGTCCAAAGTCCACTGCCTACTTTCAACACTAATGAAAAACGTACCAGATACTTTCCATGGAATGCTAGTAAACATTAGCTCTGAACCCGTTCAAAATCTTTATCTTTCAAAAGGATCTTTTAATAGAATTGCACCAATCCAGCTGAGCAAGCAACAGAAATGCTCATTTTGAAAATACATTGCACTGCTTTTACAGGTATGGGCAATAGGGGAGTCTGACATATTGCATTCAGTCTAACAATCTTAATAAAGCCCTAAAACTTGTAGAAGCAATCTCTTCAAGTTAACTTAATGCGTGGGCCATGATACTGGAGTCGCCAAGAAGTTACTTGAGGTTCCAAACGCAAGCACATTGCATCACAGGGAAGTTCAGTAGTAAACTATAAGGCTCCTTTTGCTATCTAGGACTCATAGCAGCCTCTTCACCAGCCTGCACAAGATTTAAAGATGTGAGAAACCATGAAATGGTACATATGCGCTCTTTGAAGCATATACATTTTGAAAGAAAATAGAGCATTACCGTTTTGGCCAGTGAATTGGCTCTCTCATCATCAAAACCAAGGGAAGCCAATACTTTATGACCAGCTGACTCTTTATCTGACCATATCCCCAGGAGCAGATGATTGGCGGTTACTTCTCCATCTTCACCTTTTAATCAGAATTCAAATCATCAGAGAATGCTATAGTAGCAACGATGCTTATCATACTTAAAAGTTTTGTAAATTCATGAAAAAAAAATCCTAGAGATAGGTGTAGATATGAAATACATTCTCACCAAATCTCAACTCCAAACTCAACTTTATTTAGGAGTAACGAAAAAGACAAATTTCAGGTGAATAGTAACATGACACTATTCACCCGAAATTTGTCTTTTTTGTTTCTCTTAAATGAAGTTGAGAATTGGAGAACGTATTTCATAAATACACCTATCTCTAGTATTTTTTCATGAATTTGCAAAACTTTTAGGTATAATTTTCACGAGTTTCCAACAATTAGCTCATTTTCACCGGATATGTCCTCATTGTACATTGGCAAAAAAAGTTAAAGAGATGCGGAAGGTTATTCATGCTCGATTATAATTGCATTAGCATCAATAAACCAAAGTGTAATTAAGGAGGAGCTGGCATAAACAAAACAAATCTATTGAAGTACAATGGTCCTTTCCACGTAAAACTCCAGTCAAAATTCACTACCCAGGCCTCTAGCCTTAGACTTTCAGAGTAGTCTTAGACCCAACACGTAGCAATAAACCTACTAAGCTGTAAGCATCTTCTAGACTGACTGTAGCTACAGTTGGACCAGGGAACAGTCATTTCGTGTAAAGGTTCTGATTCAATTTAAAACTATTACTATAGTTGATATCTACTCCAGTTCAGATTCGTAGTACTAGGAAATGTCAGATTCTTATATTTTGAGACAGAGGGAGTATTATACCAAACATTCAAGTACCAAGAGGCAAGAATATGACTTCAGTTCCAGATACTTCTAAAAAAATACAATCTCTAAGGCAAAATGACATCCAGAAAAGCTTCAATACTGACTTCATGCTTGATCCAATATTCTCTCCATTTAAATTAGCCATGTTGGAGTTTCAAACAAACAGAAACTGGCATAACACTGCACAGTTGGTCTGTCATAAGTTACTTATGTCTGCATATAACATCTCACGAATTTGGAGCTAGAATTGTCAAACCAAGCTAGTTATGGTACTAACTGCTATGGGCTAAGAGCTACTGAATCAGCATAATCAGTGCAAGAGTAATACATCAGACTATCAGATCATTATGTACCGCTTCGTTGCAGACAATTGCTAAGGCACCACTGCAGCTTTAAATCCTCTTCACACACACACAAAAAAAAATGACACAATACTGTTTAAACACTAAACAGTATTTTCTTTTGCAAAATGACATCAAATGATGTTATGCTGGGCTGAGAAATCAGCATTAGCTGACGGAGATCTAGGATACTAGGTTGCATGCAAGATACTGTCTAGTTGCAACATATCTGGTATGTATGATTCTCTGAATTAGTTTTCTCAAACCATAACAGGAAGGAACTTAGCAATACACCATCAAGCAACAAAGATGTATTTAAAGAAATTATTAAGTAGGTTTTAGGACTCCTATGCTTTTTAAGTCACTAAATAGCACATTTGGGTGGGCTTGATACATTTTGCACTAGCAATTTGCACCGAAATTTGAACAAACAGACATGTTACCTTGAAATTTAGCGAGATTCGTCAAAAAAAAAAAAACTGAGACGCTAGTGTCAACATAATCCTGACATAATTTTGGCAACTATCAAAAGTATACTGATTCCAATGAACAACCAAATATTTAGAACCAAGTTTGTGAATTGTTGGCTTATGCTTACTCCATTTGTTACACCATAAAGTAGACATAAGGGCAGGGTCTACAAGTACTGAAGGAGACACAGAATATCACTTTCTGATATTTGCTATACAGACTAATGGTTCAACCATGACAAGTCCTATTCACTGGAGCTTCTATGCCACTTGATCTTTCTGTACAGCCATTCTCTCACTCGTCAGACATCTGATAAATATATGGATCATTTACAAAAAAAAAAAAAGAAGGAGAGGGATTTTCAAACAGGAGATTTGGTGATTAGTTCAACAAGCCAAGGGACCAATGTCAAAAGAGTCATAAAACTAACAACATATGTCCTAGAATATTAGTGCAATCCTATTGGTACACCTATCATATTGATGCATGCAATGCCTACTCCAATAGGTAGAAACCACTGTTAGTAAAAGAAATAGAATAAGTCTATTCTTGATTCATCATTACTGAAAACGGTAACTTTGTACAGTATGGAGGATCATATGTCCAGTTTGGACCACATCATCTAACTGAATGAAGTACCATTATTCTTAATTTGCGTTGAAGCTCAACATAACTGTATCATTGTTCTTAGTTTGCATTGGAGCCCAACATAACTGTCTAGAGAGGAGTGAAAGCGAACACATCATTTAATTTGTTTCTGGTTTTAGCTTATCATAAAATATCCGAGCATTACTCATAGTCACTATAGTTGGTTTTATAGATGAAATTAAGGTTAGACAAAAATACGTTAAACTGTCATGTCTCTCCCGCCAATTGTTCCATATTTTCAGAACATAATAATAATACTCTTTACAACATAAATTGAAAACAAAGGCAGTTTGACAAATGCCAAATTGTCTAAAAGAAATGGCACCAAACAAGATTATCGTAATCCACAGAAATGACAAATGTTGTCTAAGATACTAGATAAATATATCTAAGACAATAAAATATCAGCCAATGAAAGAAGCTAAACTCTGCTGAACAAACCAATCAAACAAGAACATGATATGGCAAATAAAATTACATCCTTCATTCAACCGATATAGCTAGTACCAGTAGCATACAAGTGTATTGACTCTGAAATGCTAGGATAAGAAGTTTAGAATTACAAAGCATTTTATATTTACTACGTTCTGAAGGAAGGTGGTAATTTATGAAGGTTGCACCATGTAGTTGTAGGGTTATTGCAGCTCAACAATGCCAGACACCACATTGAGCGGTGACCAAGAATCCTTAGTGATTAAGCAAAGCAACTCACCAATACTTCATATTGACTTATTGAGAACAAGTCATAATCAATGCAACTAACTTTCCAGAAATGAAATCACAAGATATGCCAGCGGTGTTGCGTGAAAATTCATATTTTGGACCGTTGCTCCGATGAATCGGAGACAGTAGATGCATATATCTGATCGAATTGCATGAAATAGACTATAAATTTACGATAGTCAAAGTGTAATTAATAGTAAGGCTCAAGAATCAAGATGTAAACTACGAGAGAATAAAAAACAAATTCAAGTGTAGAATTATTAAGCAACACAATGTGCTCCATGAATCAAATAATTTTCTCAACTAAATCCAATAGTAAAACATCACTAAAAATGGAAGTAACCATACAATATGCAAACACTTCTGTTCTACAAACATGAAAAAAAAAATCTGCCTATTGTCCAAGAGTACCAAAACAGTAAGAAAAAGACATGAGTTTCATCAAAGACCAAAACTAAAGACAGTCAACTGATTGTCTTCTGGACCTAAATAAGAATTGAACAATAAATGGATTCATATTTAAAAGAGAAGTAACCTGATTTCAGTTTTTCATTGATAGCCCAATCAAGCGCTCGTTGTGCAGCTTCAGTCAATGGTGGGTGCATAGGACTAAAGTAGAACATTTCTGATTTCCCAAGCACATTTGCTGCCTCCTCGCGCACTTTGAGCAGCGTAATTCCATTAGCACGCAAAAGTTTTGCTGCATCACTAGTTCCTGTAAGCAATGAAGTTGCGACTAAGTGCAGTCCCATGAGCATAATGAAGTAGCAAACCAAAAAGGAACTACGAATGCTAGTTCAACAGCTGGGTACTTTCATGGTATATACGTCAATTACAGTTTTAAGATGTCAATAAGAACTCCTGACAGTTTAGAGGCTTATATCTTATGTAGGCTCGTGAACATAGTCTCAGAGCACAGCGCAGTTTGCTACTGTCCCAACAAATCAAAATAAAACCTGAAAAAAAACAATCATATCTGAACCACTGAAAACCAATCAAAGGTTGAGGCTAGAATTGCAGAGTTTACCAACACCCCTAAATTATCATAGTCTCTCTCCATCTTATTTTTATAGAAGACATTGGATTTATTTGTGGACGCCATCACACAAAATCTACATAAGTCAGCAAGCAAAGGTCTAAACATTGTTAACATTATGAACCAAAAGGGTTGTCTTACTCCCAACTGTTTTACATTGAAGCATGTTTACTTTTTAGACAGTTTACTGTGTTATCCTGGCTACTCATTCTGGAAGAAATACCAATGAGGCTACATTAAAATGGCCTTTTTTTTTCTTTCTTATATTTTCCATGACTAGAGACTCCAGGTGTCACTATTGCGGATGTACATGGATAGAACAATAGGAACTTGAGAACTTAATAACTCTGCACTCAGATGATGAATATTACAACCTATAAGGCAGATGATTTATTATTCGATAGTATTCCATTGTGTTTGCATTTGGCATGCTGCTCCATATTTTTCAACATGCATGAGGCATGTAGACGTGCACCAAAATTACCCTGACTTCTACAGTTTTGTATAAACGTATTTTAAGTAAGGAAAATGCCATTATAGTATCTTTGTAAAACCTTCATGCCACTACAAAGGTTTAACCCCTATAGCCTTGTATATCATATTTTTTCTCTTTCCCCACTCATCTGTTCCAATTTCCATCACAATTCACAAATAATTCACCCCCTTAGGCACCAGAGATGCAAGCGAACAAATTTCAGTGATAATCCAAGATCATTTGCCTCACCCTCGACAAGGATGCCCATGAGGAGTCCTTCAGTGCCAGTGGTTGGGTACCTCATCTTCCGAGCCTCCAGCTCCGCCATTGCAAATGACCTCACCGCTCGTGATGACCACCTAAACCCGTGTCAGCTCCCCAATATAGACAGATGGAACCGGAATATCAAGAGAAATTGTACTCACCGGATCTTCTTCTCCCCAGAAGCCACCTCTGGATTCCTGAAAAAAACGTCAATCACCGTATCAAAAGTGGCAGGATCCAAAAATACAAAACTCAAATCTCGCAATCGAATTGGTTACTCTTATGAGCTAAATTCGAAGAGAGGGACTAGGGACTTTGAGAAACACCCGAAGTGAAGGAGTATTTCATGATAAACATTGATGAGTGGGGTTGGGAGCATTAGTAGCTTGCTCTTACGCGGTGGGGAGCTGAGCGACGACGGCCGCGACACCTCGGCCCCGGGAGCGGGAGGCGGAAGTTGGGGACCCCGCGGCAGCGGCCCTGAGGGAGGCGGGCAGCACACGGGCTGCCAGGAAGGAGACGGAGGATGAGGGCGCGGTGTGGTGCGGCGGGGAGGAGGAGAGGAAGGAGAGGAACGCCGCGGCGGCGGCCTGGGCGGCGGTCGCCATGGCGGGCGGAGGTTTTCGGGGGAGGGGGGGGGGGGGGGAGGGGAGGGGTTCTGAGGGTTGATAGGGGAAGCGATAAGTCGATGCGGCGAAGACAAGGGAAGAGGAATGTGAGTATAGCTTCGTTGCAACTTGCAAAACAGCAAGCGGCACAATCAGCAAGTTCACAACCGGTCTGGTGCATTGAAGTTACAACAAAATTCATGGTTCCACTTCCATCCTCCGAATATCGATGGCTCGATTTTTTGCTGTTTATGCCAAAAAAAAAAAGTAACACATGCATGTAAATACTTTTTTTTTGGAACATGTAAATACTATTGAAATAATATTAAAATTTTCTACTACGTACTTCCTCCGTTTCATATTATAAAACTTTCTAGCATTGTCCATATTCATATATATGCTAATAAATTTAGACATATATATGTACCTAGATTCATTAACATCTATATGAATATGGCCAATGGCCAATACTAAAAAGTTTTATGATTTGAAACGGAGGTAGTAAGATATTTGATCTTATACTGATAACTTATTGAATTATAGACATATATAAAAAAAATGTATTCTTGTATGGTTACAAATTATGCAACTTCTTTAAATATAATTGATTAAACTATACTTCATGAGAATAATTTGCATGTACATTGGAATAGAACAGAGCAAATATGTAGAGAAGTTAATTCTTATTGTAGACTAACTATTAAAATTGTTCAAAAGCTCACTCTTTATGAACACATTGGGATCACTTCAAACACCACCATGACCATGAGGCAACATGATGCTACAACAGTAGAAAATTAACTTAAATAAAGAGATAAACAACATGCGGATTGTTTTGCGTTAGTGTTTTCTTACTGAGAATATTATATAGGGACAAATGATTACGAGTACATAATGAGAAACGCCCAGGGGTCTTCGGGCTAGCTCCACAAGGTGGTGGGCTAGATAACCTGGGTTCGAAGCCTCATCCATTATAATTATTTGATATTAGGTCATTTTCTAATAGTCGTGTTTTTGTAGTTACAAAATGGGTAATCGGCACATATTGGCTTTCTTCAATTGATCTAGTTGCATTAATTCTACTTGTAAGTTATGGTTGATCGTACTTTGAGCGGAATATGGTTTTACTCTATTTTTTTAGAACAAGTTTTACTCTAGCTCAAGTCGAAAAAAATAAACAATGCTCCGCTTTAACGGACTAATTGGCATGTAGCTACGATTATGTACTCCATACTAGTCTACTAGCTATATTTTGAGACGAAGGAAATAGATAATAGTGAACCCGCAACACGACAATGTATTTGTTAGCTATGCATGGTTCTAAGTAGACAGATACAACCACAACCTTCTATATTAGCTTTATATGGAACTAGGGATGTTATATCCAACCTTGTCGACGAGGGCACGTAATCTGCTCGATCACGACACACAAAGATCTTAGAAATTTGGAGCACTTGCTAGTGAAAAGCTCACTAGGCACAATTGTTATAGTGTTGTGTCGCTTTGGTCGTTGCCTTCAAAGTCTAGCCCTGCCTATTCGACTTCGTCTAGTCGTTCGGGCTTGGCTAGCCCTTGCGTCAAGAGGCTGCGACCTACAAGAGTGAGCGAGACATTTGACATTGTAGTCCGCTGTTCATCTTGCCACGACAACACATCGGCACCCAAAATCCCAGACTTTCGAGTCCCCATTGTTGCTGGCTTGCTGCATGTTCATCTTGTTGTCTCGCTAACGCCTATAGTCCATGACGTTGTCAGCCGTCCATGTTAGACACCCATGCAATGTCGCAATCTCAGTTTTAAATTGGACATATGTTTTTTTAAATATTTTATAATCTTAATTTACATTTTGTCCCGGGTCTTTAAATTCCTAAATACCTAGGCCTAAAGTGTGTTGGTTGAGTTTCTGTGTTTTTGGTGAGGGTTGGGAGCCCACTCACCTCCCAGACGAAAGACATAGCAGTCGATTAGTGCACGATTAATTAACTATTAGCTACAAAACATAAAAAATAAGTTAGTATGATTTTTAAAGCAACTTTCATATATTTATTTTTTTTTTAAAAAATACACCGTTAAACAATTTAGGAAGCATGCGCGTGAAAAACGAGTGATGAGATTTCACGTGCATGCTTTCCAACTGCTAAAAAATGTATTTTCTGTAAAAAAAATTTATTGAAAAGTTGCTCTAAATTTTCTATAGCAAAGGGTTAGCTTAAAGTTGAGAGCTCCCGTCTTGGAACAACGCACGTGCCCTTATGTACCCCTGACAACGGGTCCCCCACAGAGTGTTTACACCAGTAGAGTCCCCGCCGGTCAGTGTCAGCTGTGGTCACGGCAGTCCCCGTCGTCCTCTTCTTCTACCAGCGGGCCGCAGGCGGAGAACATCGGGAGCGAGCAGCGCACAGCGCAGCGAGGAGCCCAGAAGGCGACAAGACAGATAGACAGAAGCCATTCATATCGAACCAAAAAATCAACCCACCTAACCAACTGACATCCCGGGTCCACCGCACCCCATCTGGCGGGTCCCACACGCAGTGAAACGTGGGTGGTGCAACCCGCCGCGGCATTCTGTTGCGGAAAAGAGAGAGAGACCCCGAGGATGACGACCGGAGATAGGAGTGAAATTGGAAGAGGAGAATTCCTCTTTTTTTTTTTCTCTCCCTCCCCCAAAAATCCCCGAGATGCCGAAGAGGACCTCCTCGCATTCCCCCACCGTCTCCGCCATGAATCCCCTCCTCCCTTCCTCCTCCTTCCCCAAATTCCCCCACCCGGACCCAAACCTCAGCTCCCCAAACCCTAGCCCGTGTAGCTACCTCCTCCACGCCGACGCCGACGACGAGGCGCTGATCCAAATCCCGTGCCCGAACCCTAGCTCCGGCGCGGCCTCCTCCTCCTCCGTCGTCCTGCCGCCCATCGACCCGGCGCCGCACATCTCATCGCAGTTCTACACCTTCACCGCCGAGTCGCACGCGCTCATGCTGCGATGCGTCCTCGCCGGCCGCCCCGCGGCCGCCGACGAGGTCCGCTCCGCGACGCCCCCCTCCGTGCTCGCCTCGTGGCGGGCGGTGTGGAAGGACCGGAACGAGGACACGGCCTACCTCACCGCTTGGAAGCGCATCCAGGACAAGCTCGGCGCGTCGGCCGACGGGCGGTCCCTCCACTTCAAGTCCAACCCTGGGCAGCGCGTCTCGCACGTCGGCCAGTGGCGGGACATAGTCTCGGAGGCGCACGCCGACCCCGACCTGCTCCGCCATCTCGGGCTCAAGGACACCGTCGACCGAATCAAGCAGTCATGGACCGTGGGTGCCAAATTCTACGGCATTCCGGAGTCATTCGTCCGTGTTTGTGTCTCTGCATGTGCTGTATGTAAGGCCGCACCTGCGGGACAGCCTGATTTTGCTATGTCATCGCCAGGGCGGGGGAAACGGCGCCGCAGGTTTGAATATACGGAGACACTAGATGTGCCCGCGCGAGATGTTCCACGCCGACTGCAACAGTTGGCTGCTAAGCATAAGGTGGTTCTCTGTATCAGGCAGAAGTATATAAGGCATAAACCATTCATGGCCGAGGTGAAAGATTATGCATGCCACCGTGCTGGGGTGCCAACTTCAAGTGGTGTGAATGCTACGTCTTCTTCAGGAAGTGTCCCTGATGGGAAGAAGACACGAGTATTGAAGCGGGAACCATATCAATCAAAGAGGTGTGGTTGTGGGTTTCGTATTCGGGCAATTGTGCCAATAGCTAATTACAATGAGAAAGACAAGAGTTTTGTATACGAGGAGGAGGGTACTGCAGTGTTCAAGCTTTATGCAGTGCATTCAGGGCATGAGCCAGGGCCACTTGATGGCAATGCCCGAATTGTTCATAGGTTAGTTGGGCATAAGGGAGCTCTTGAGTTCGATCCAGACATTTATGGTGTCAGTGAGGAAGGAGATCCTAACTTTACGATTAAGGGAGATTTTGATGTTGAAACTGATGATTCACATCTTGCAGTTTTGCAGCAAATTCGGGATCTCAAAACAGAGGTTGGCTTGTTAGAAGGGAAGGTGGGTAAGATGCACCCAGAGCTTTTGGGTTCACTATCCAATGAGCTATCTGAGTGTTTGCACAGGATCAGGAAGTTTAATTTTGATGGCAATGTCTGCCAGCCAGAAGATACACTGATGATAGGCAACGAGGAGGTTCCTGGATGGGGGCCAGCTGACGTTTCTCACCATTTAGATCAGCATGACGGTGCATTCTGCAGGGATGATGAGATGCTTGATGATGACGATACTGATTTTGGTTCAAGTCTTGGGCCTATTGTCTCGTGGGATGGAATGACGGCAGAATGTGAGGATAGGAAGATGCTCATGAGTGATAGTCCAAAGTGTGACAAATGGATGCTCAAGGAAGACGTGGGCGACTTTGTTGAGAAGAGTATTCTTAACTGTGGTGATGACGATGGTGTGGAGGATTCAAAAATTATCAAGCCATTGATGCATGATGAGACCATGGTAGCTGACCCAGGTTTGGTAGGTATTCATGTAGAAGGATTCTACTCTGGAGCCAAATGGTATGATTCACCGGTAGGTTTGGATTCCAGTGGTGATGCAGATGTCAGTTTTAGACATGGTGGACTTGTGTGAGATGTGATTGTCCCTGATACCAGGAACATCATGTAAATTCTGTATACAGGAGGACATCAGCTTGTACCAATTTAATGTAGTATCTATAGGTAGAGCTTGAACCAAAGTGACCTGCCTGCCCTGATATATACATGCTGCATTTATCGACTCAACCTTTGTTTAACTTATGTATAGTCCCCGTGTGGGTTTCCATCTTGTTACAAGACAATATAACTTTGGTTCTGTTCTTGATTAGCTATTTAGTCATAACTTAATGTTTTGTAGAACTCTCACCCTCCCTCTCTCTCTCTCACGTGCGTGTGGGCACGAATGTGCATGTGCATTTTGTAAATTTAATGCAAGGTTTTGCACACAATAACATGCTGTCTCTTTACTTTGCAAGAGGAATCTTTGTCATCTTTCCTGTTCAATTGCATCTAGTGTATTAGTTATTATTACCATTAACTGTGAAAAACATTATCCCTGTTCATACCTAAAAATTGTTCACTTCCCTCTTGTTTATTCTAGTACATATCATTTGTGCAAGAAAACTGCAACTGTTCTTTGCGAGCCTATTGAACATCACTTTTTAATGACATGGTATTGACTATGCATGATGTATATTCTCAAATTTCATGGTGTTATATGTGGTTTACTGGTTTAATTTTGGTGCTACAAGTGTATGTGTGAAAGATGAACGTTGTTTTGTTTTGTATTAGGTACCCTTCTGCATTAGACTGATTGACTGGGTGGATGTTTACTATGACAGTATAAATCCTTCATTGTGATGCCACATGAAATACATAATTATTTATTATTCAAACATTAAATAGATCTTAGTGTTTTTATCTTCTTTTGCCAAGTCCCTTTTTTCATGTTATAAATTCTACTATCTACAATATTCATTGAGCGTTAAGATGTTAAATATTATTTGTCAAAGCTCAAGGAATGGTTGAGTGTCCATGTCAAATGCTTCAGGAACATTTTCTTCTGTTTGTTTTATATATTCAATTCTGTATGGTCAGGCAAGGTTCTTTTCATATTTCATTTAATCTTTTCAAATGCTGATATATATATATATATATATATATATATATATATATATATATATATATATATATATATATATATATATATATATATATATTAACGTCTGAAGCATAATGGTTTTGGAGGACTACTGTTATGCAAATTATTGCAAATAACTTTTATGTTCTAAATCTACAAGTTCACTATAGTTCTTCATGGAATGCATTCTGTGTAATTTTATCAAAAGGCTATTCTGGTAAGCATTCGTGATTCCCCCCTTTGATAAGCTAGATTTCTGTTTGCATTAAGCATATAAATTTGATAGATTTTGAAGGGGTTGCCTTAAGTTTTTCTCACTTTTTTTTTCTGTATTTGCAGGATTGCAATGAGTTATGTGTCATCATTTCCTCTGCTATACACGTGTTTATTGTTGATGAAATTACCATCCTATGAGCAATGCCCTTATGGCCTTAAACTATCTTAACCGTTTAATCATGAATTTTCTCTCATGCAGATCTGTCAGTTAACTTCGTCATGCCGCCTTTTCTGCTTATTGGCGTGATCTGGCGTCACATGATGCATCATCAGGTTGAGGTCTGGACACAAGAACCCACATACATTATTTGTCTGTTTCCATTTTGCGCCACTTGTTACATCTATAATACAATTTGATGCACCACTTTCAAATTTGGGTTTACCCCTTGTTTTGCCGCCAAACATCATGCTAGACAATCTCCGTTGTTGGCTAGACACATAAAAGGTAACATCTGTCCTTCGTCAGTTGATCCAGTCAAAATTGCAGGGATTAGCCATTCATGCAACGCATACCTATCCTGGCTCCTGCATCGTCCTATTCTGAACGTATGAATTCTTCATCCAAACATTACAGTTACTTTCCTATCATGGTTGTGGGAGCCAAAATGGACCCGTGGCCAAGGAGGCTGGAGCAACTGATGTGATTAGCAGCCATTAACTAAGATTTTTTTTCCTATGGCAAAATTAGCAAGGCAGGATTTGATTAGATTAGCTTCGCTGTTTCCTTTTGTCTTTTAGAAAATATGTTTGTTAGATCCTGGTTATAGACACCAAGCCATACACTCTATGGATTTAATGAAGAAGTAACCAATCTAATTCCTTCCAATGTAAATCTTCCCAGTCTAACTTCACTTCTCCCACCAATCTAATTCCTCCCAATGTAAATCTCCCCAGTCTAACTTCACTTCTCCCACTAAGGGCCAATCGTCCTTGTGGTGTTTCCCTGTTTGATCTATGCTCCTAACATTTCCAGAATCTTTTAGGCTTATTGATGTATTGTGCAAGTAACCCATAAAACCTGATGTCAACAAAATACATTCCCTGGCAAGAAAAGGTCAAAGACTTGAGCAACAAAAGACAAGAAGGCACTGGTTGTGCTCGATTTCTTTGATTCTTAAGAGAAATAAATAATGCTCTATTGTGAGGTGCCTTAAGTAAAACATGTTTCATATGATCATATTGTACTTGGTAAGTACCATAATGGAATATCTAATATTGTGACATGCAATGCACGTACTGCTTGCTAGATAGGATTATATGTTCAAGTCAGCATGTCCAAACGCTGTTCACCTTTTGCCCAAATGTCAGCCAGGACATGGGTCCACATTATGAGCTTTCTTCTTATCAGATATGCATGCAAACCCAATGCTTGAAAGAAAGCTAGTGTGTTGGGGCATAAATATGAAATTGTTAATTCATGCTTGTTTTTCTTAACTGTTCATGGAGTTGGACTGAAGTAAAACTTCTTTTCTTCAGGTAATTGAATTACTATGTTGAGCAAACTTTGGCATGGCAGTGCTCAACTAAACATCTCGAAATAGCTTTATGTGATATGCTATATTCTTTGCTTGCAGTCACAGTGTGCTTTTACAGCTTGCTTGTAGAGCGATGGAATAATCCACCTAACATGCTCAAATATTAAAAATCTTTCTTTAGCAGTTACTCTCTTTCCTAGAATGTGGCACTCAAATATTCATGATTATAATTTCTTTATGAATATCTAGATTGGCCGGATGTGATGAGATTTATTAGTTTCTACAGATATATAAAAGTGGCTAAAGTTGTGTCTTGGATACCATTTAAATGTTCAACACACAATTCATTCAACTATTTGTGGCAGGAAGAGTACTACAGACGGAGTCATTATTTACACACAGATGAAATATTTAGTGCCAAGTCTGCAGGGTGATGAGTTAGTATCTATTAAACATGCGAGTTTTAAATCCATTTGGCTGACTTTTGCAAGAATTGGTAAGTGCATTCTCCATTATTTGTTGGTAACTGCAAGAAGTGTACACTACCAGATATAGACAGTGGTGGGGCTTTCTAGTGATGTTTCTTTTGGCATTTTGCTAAAGGCAGGCCTTTCTGGACAGGCACAAGTTGCATGCCGTTGCTGATTTTAGTGTGATGCATGTAGTTGATTGAAAAATGAAAACAGTACCATTTTATGTGCAACCAAGTGCATTTTATTAGCTAACTTAGACTGGGGGCTGTTTTGGTTTATAATAGAAAATGGAATCTATGCATGCAACAAAAAAAATGTTCTGAACGTTAACATGCTTCTCCAAGGCATTGCATGTTGGAGTAGCCAGTAATTACCACTGAGAGATACTCGCTCCTTGCGATTAGAACATAGTTTTAATTATATACCATATCAATTTCTTCTACTCGTGTGCAGTGGGATAATATTGTTTTTGGTCATTGATCATCACTCTGGTTAACTGGTCACATTTGGTTGAGGATTTAACATCATTTATTGGCAGGTTGTTTGTGCAGTTGCTTGTTTTGGGGAGCTGGAGCAATCGTGGACCTTGTTAATCTTCCAGAATAACTAGTTAGTCCGCCAACCAGTTTTCTAAGTCTCTGAAGCCAGAGGTACAAGTGGTGCCTGATGATATATACTTGTTAAACTGCAGCACTCGAATCAATGACATTATTTTACTGTCCGTAAGGCAACAACTGAGCCATAGTATATCTCATGTAATCACAGGGAAGCGGAAATTTCAACATTTTCTTATGATAATGTAAGTTTCTCTATGCTATGTAGGATCCCGCAGCTTATCTATATATGGCGCAGATCTCCTGAAGATAGCTCTGCAGACTGCAGTTAGAGCTGAGTCAGAGTAAGAAGACGTGATAAGGGTGACTCGAATCAATGACATTATCCAACTGTCCACAGTCCAACAACTTTGCTATAGAATATTTCATGGATCAGAGGGACATGAAAATCTGAACTCAAACTCTTTCATAAGGCCATATCCAAGCTGGTGTTGCAATGGTGGATTCCCCTGCTCCTCTATTATATAAGGCATAGATCCTCTCAAGTTATATCTGCAGTAAGAGTCAGAGGTCCAAGACGTCCAAGTGAGAGCGAAAGGTGTCTTTTCCAGAAGACACTAACCGAATGACTAGCATGGCCACAATCACAGCCAAATCTGGGGTCATCGCCGTATCGATGGTCTTGGTCATGTGCGCTGCCTCTGCAGCTGCTGGCGACAACGACATGCTGCCGGCGGCGTTCGACATCCTGCAGCAGCCGGCGAAGGAAGCCGCCAACCTCGGCCACGGCTGCTACACTCGGTGCTTCGCCGGCTGCTTTGCAGCTGGGTTCGATGGAGATTACTGCTCGGACTTCTGCTCCAAGGAATGTGGCGATGATGTCCGGAAGTTCCTCAGCCGGCTGTCGCCGGAGAACTCCGCTATCGTCGGTGACATTTGCAACATCCCAAGGTGCATCAGTTCCTGCGTCGAAGCGAAGATTGATCCACCGTACTGCAAGATTTGGTGTGAGGATATGTGCGGTGATGATGTCCGGAAGAACCAAATCGGGCTCTCGCCGTAAGATTCCACCAGATGCGTTTCTTTCGGTCCGCGCATCAATAGTGCCTGCGCTTGCGTTCAGTTAGCGCTGTGATCTTTCAGTAGCAAACTACTAGCAAGTAGCAGTAGCTTGTGTCGTCGCTCTCTGCATAAGTGTGCTTGCTTTTGTTCTTCTATGTTCCCGTGTTCTTCCACGGTTCCACTGTTCTTGTTGTTGAAGGCGTCAAGGTGTGTAGCCGACTCGTGCAATTACATTATCTTCATTTCGACCCTGTTATCAGAAGTACGTACTGTTTTAGTTCCTTGAATGCAGTGATGGGCGTACCAGTTTCCGTTTCATAATCATGACTTGGTGTTCTGGGACCTGATGTCCATTTTTTGAAAGGTCACCCGGGTGATTCAGTAGAGCTGGCTGTTGGCTGGATCCTCATGATGTTTTGATTCAGTAGAGCTGCTCAATTGAAGATAGACGAGTAATAGCACCATGTGTTGGTAACCTTATATGCCGATGGACTTAAAAAGCGAAAAATTGGATAGATCTCTAAACTTGTATATAATTTTTCAAAGATAATAGTCGTGCATCGCGTTAAATCTTGTCCGAGTACCAAGTACACATGATCAATGACGCATGCGAAAAAAAAGAGAGAGAAGAATCAATGTGCGCCTGAATGCACACTCTTTGTTCTTATCATCTGATGAAGTTCCAATCCGCAATTCTCTTTTCTAGGAAAACAACTCCAGTAAGAACTCCAAATATTTCGAGATCCGCATCCCCGCACGCTGCGTCTCTCACTCTCTCCTCCTCAGTCCGTTTCGCTATCCTTTTGTCTTGCTCGATCGTTTCGCGGACTCCAGCTGCCGGTCGATGATGACGGGAGCGAAGCTTGCGGAGAACCGATCGACGGCCCGGCAATAGCCGCCGGCATGCGCATAGTGAAGCCTTTCTCCCTGCTGATGCCATGGCGGGCGTCGGGCGATCAATGAAGTGCGCCACCAAGAGTACGTACCTCCTCGTCGTCTACACCGGCGAGTACTACCAAATCATCCTACTTGATCAACGACGCCATTGACGACTCCCTCACTCCCGTGCCTGACATCCCCCGCCCTGAGCCCCTGACAGCCTCCTCGCCATCGGGAGCGGAACATCCATCTTTTCACTTGGCGGTGGCGCCTACGTCGTCCTCGCCGAGCTCCTCATGACCAACGTCCACAAATGGCGCCATCAGGTTCGTTGACATGAAGAGGACACACGGTCGCTGAGGATTTGAAGCTGGCCATCTGGATCCTGTCGCTGGACTCCGGCGGCGAGTGGAGGAAAGGCCCGGAGTGTCGTGTCGGAGACATTTGGGCAAGCGAAAAGTACGTTGTCATGGGAGTGCCGCGGATTAGTCCGCCTCCGGTGTGCCCTGTCTTGCGCACGGTCAACGATAATGTCGTCTGCGTTATCGTGAACGATGCCGACGAGACTGTGTACGGGAGTGTGGATGTCATAGCCCAGCATTTTCTTGCCATCGACGTGGAACGTAAGGATCGAGGTGGGTGCTCTGCTGTCCGTCGTTACCAAGCTTCACGCCTTCACCCTGATGGTGGGGTAGAACCTGTACGGCTGTACCCTAACCACATGGCTTGCGAATTCAGTGAGTACATGGAACACTGACAGGTATAGAGGTACAAATAATAGCCTCTAGTACTGCTAGGACCATCCAAAATACTTGTCATTGTCAATTGTTGAGTAAATTTTATTTTAGGGAACTTTTATTATCAATGTTTCATTTTGTACCATCCTTTAACCAATGATTTTACTTTAAATCGGGTATTTTTTTTACCTTTGTTTTACATTGGTTCACCCTAACTCTCTTCTCAAGTATAAGTATATAAATGATCTTAAGTGCGTTGGCTCCTACTCATCAATAAACTCACATAGCAATATGCAAGATAATTTCTTTGGCATATAACAAGTTTGATGTAGATGGATAAAATAGTTGAGGGGTTCAAAATATCACAAAAGTAAAAATACCCGATCCAAAGTAACAACATTGTTTAAAGGGTGATCTAAGATGAAATATCGGTAATAAAAGATGACAAAAAGTAAAATTTACTCTTAATTTTTCATGCATATTTAGTTCTAAAGTAAAAATCTGTATATTATGTGGTGTAATTAGGATTTATATGAAAGGTGATTTATCTACATGTAATAGGTCAAATCAATGGTGGTCCACTATACAATTTTTATCATGTTATGTATTATATTTAGAAATAAGACTACTTCACCCCTAAAGTATTGATGCTGATCTACATAACCCCTGGAGTATGAAACTGGGTATTTTATTCCGTAAAGTATCAAAATCAGTTCAAATAACACCTAGAGTGGTTATTGAAACGGGCTCTTGAACTAAAGAGGAGACTTTGAAATGGGCTAAGTATTTTATTCACAAGTGAAACGCCCGAGACTAATGTAAATTAGTGTTAGTATAGTAACTTTAGGCTTGTCGATTAGTGCGTGAAAAGCAATAGTTAGATAAATTTGGGTTTACTAGACTAATCTTTGCGCCACACAATCATTTGCATGTCAAAACTACCTATAAAACCACTGTAGGGGTTATTTGAACCGATTTTCATACTTCAAAGGTAGAAATCTAGTTTCGTACTTTATAAGTGGTTAAATAGACCAACCCCAACACTTCAGGGTATTCCTTATATCTACTATAGTTTTAACTTTGAGTTAAATCTTAAGGTGGTCCATGCCCTACGGCAGTAGCGGAGCCAGAAATTTAAATCTGTGGGGTCAATTACTAGTGGTTTGTATTTAAGTGGGATCATTTCTCTTTATTGTTTTGGATTTATACATAAAAATTGAGGTTTATAGGACGTTTTTTAAAAAGCTGGGGTCGGCCGACCCCACAGAAATGGCCTAAATCCACCACTGCCCCAGGTGCCACCTAGTTAACTCTGCATATGGGCCTATGATCCCTTCGATCACTTTTCATTACTACAATGGTGTTTGAAACTGATGGATATTAAGCTGGTGCATGTAGAATGAAGAAAATAATTAACACATTATTGATTAAAATTTAATTATTAAAAACTTGACAAATTAATTTATTTGATAATTTTAATGTAACTTTTATATAGAAAGTTTGAAAAGTGTAATAACGGAAACTGAGTTAAAATCTGTACGTGTTAAATATATTATTCCCCTTTTTAAATTTATAGAAGAAGTTAAATATGAACGTTGGAAAACGCTGAACAAGTGAACATATCCCGCGATCCGCATTTGTTGCGACTCGTTTCGATCAACTGATTCTCCTTCCCGGCCGGACATCCACATCATCCTGCGATCGTTCGTTTCCCTAGTCGTTCCAGGCTTTTTCAGCTCTACTCCCCTCCACCCAGGCGCAAATCATCCGCCATGGCTCCCGCCTGGGTCTTGCTCGATCGCGTCGTCAAGCCCGCCGTCTTCGACGAAGAAGAGAGCAAAGGTAAGGGAGAATCGACCGGCGCCCCAGTGAAGTACCTGCCAGCCAGATTAAGGCAGGAAGTCCCCGCCGGCATGCGGGACGTGAAGCCCTACCCAGAGGTTGCGGATCCTCCCATTATATCTCGCTTCTCCATGCTGATTTCGCGGAAGGCGATCAGGGTAGTGAAATCCGTCCGTGTCCGGTGCGCCGACAAGAGCCTTGTCTTGTTCTACGCCGGCACCGGCTTCCCCGGCTTCTCGTCCCACGGCTGCCACCTGATCTACGACGCCATCGACGGCTCTCTCACTGCGGTGCACACATTCCCCTTTCCTGTGTCCGGAGTCGTCTGGGTCGGCAGAGCCGCTGTCCTGCGCCATGCCGGCGGCGGAGGAGGAGGAGGAGACGGTACTACCGCCTCCTATGTCATCGCCGAGCTGCTCAGGCCGTTTCATGGCTCCCTTCCCGATGCCACGCTCGTGATGTGGTTGTCGAATTCCCCCGCGTCGACCTCCGGCAGCAACGGCCAATGGGTGAAGGAGGACGTTCGCCTTCCCGGCGAGGTGTGCACGGGCACCGACCCCTTCACCACCGACTTGGTGTTCTCGTTCGGTGAATCGTGCCTGTGCTGGGCCGATCTGTTCATGGGCATCCTGTTCTGCGACCTTGCGACGCTGCGTGCACCTCGGTTCCGTTTCATCCCATTGCCCAAGGCTTGCTCCTTCGACCCCGTCGGCAAGTATGGCCGGCCTCACATGCCCGAGTTCCGTTCCATGGGCCGCGTCAACGGTGTCATCAGGTTGATCGACATGGAGGGTTTTACCAACGAGTACCTGGCCGTGGATGAGGTGAAGCTGACCATCTGGACCCTGTCAGCCGACCTCAGCGAGTGGGAGAAAGGCCCGGTGTGTACTGTAGGAGACATTTGGGCCAGTGAGGAATTCGTCGCCATGGGGTTGCCGCAGCTTAGACCGATGTGCCCTGTCCTGAGCATGGTTGACGAAGATGTCGTCTGTGTAGTCATGACTGAAGTCGAGATTGAGGAGAGCGATGTCACAGATTTCGACGATGAGGGCAACAAGCTCAAGTTCAAGGCCCAGTACGTTCTTGACATCGACGTGCGGCGTAAGCGGGTGTTATCCATCACCCAGCACCACATTGAAAGTATGGGTGATCTTATACCAGATCTCATCGCCTGTGAGTTCACTGCATACTCGGAGCTCTCAAAAGGCATGCAGGTATTACTACTACGACACCCAACATACTTAGTTATTTACTCACTTGAAGTATATTGTTCTGTTAACACAATAACACTTTCCACAGTTCTAATGCTTGGTTATCATGTCCAGTCAGTTACATCTTAGTATCTCACGAGTAACGGAGTAAGTATATTAGGCTAGTTATCCTACTGAACTGAACTCTAGATAGCATATGTGTGTGCTAATCAGCCATCATGATTGTCTAATGCCAAATGACTTAGCTCTTTTGCCATGCTACAGCCCTCCTCGTCCAAACCAGGAACGCCATTTTTTCATTCTGTTGGTACTTCTAGGAACTGGAGAACGCTGTCATAGTTACTTTCACTTCACTACAAAGTTGTGATGGCTTGTCCAGTAGATGTATCCAATTGAATTCTTGATTCAGAATTGATATAGACCTATTTTATTTAAAGATGTTACATGTGGTAAATTCAAACTGAGCACCAAGTCACCAGCAAGGTTCTGTAATGAAATTTGTGAAAAGTGCAATCTATCCATAACGTGTGGGCTTGGTTGGTTTTAGCTATTTTACTTAAATGCCTCTTAGAATTGACCTTATCAGCATGCCCTTGTGTGAGTATTGCTCATTATTATTTTAGAGAGTACAGACAAATGGGGCCAATGATAGGTATGTTGCGGCGAGGCAACTACATCATCTGACCAAACCTGACCATAATTCTTGTCGCAGTTGTACGAAAATCTCTTTTCTTTTTTACTTCTGAAGTTTTTTTAGCGTTGTGTGTTGGAAAAGAGATTTGTCTAACTAAAATTCTCTATGTAATAAGTATAGAATCGTATCCTCTATACCATAGTATATGGAAATATCATGTGTACCAGTGTAAGGCCCTAACTGAGTTATGTTACTTTCCCTAGCTGGTACTCCCTCCATTTCACATTATAAGACTTTCTAGTATTGCACACATTCATATATATGTTAATGAATCTAAACATATACTCCCTCCGTTTTGAAATGTTTGACACCGTTGACTTTTTAGCACATGTTTGACCATTCGTCTTATTCAAAAACTTTTGTGAAATATGTAAAATTATATGCCTACATAAAAATATATTTAACAATGAATCAAATGATAGGAAAATAATTAATAATTACTTAAATTTTTTGAATAAGACGAACGGTCAAACATGTGCTAAAAAGTCAACGGCGTCAAATATGTGTAGTAGATGTCCTAAGACTATCTAGGTTTCTCAATGATGAATTTTCATTTATATATATTTGGCCACATATTAATTTCCTGTCTAGCTCTGTTAATTGTAACTTTGGTATGCACTGAGGGAATTATTGAAGTGGATTAAGAACCATTAGGCCATTTTAAATTTGTCTAGTTTGACATACATTAATTTGTTTCTGCTAGGCAATGGTGGAAGGAAATGAGGGTGAGGAAAGCACAAAGCGGATGAAGGTTAAATGATCTCTGCATCATGTGGAACTTCGATGGTTTTTGCAACATATCAAGTAGGATTAACATTGAAGATTGGTGTTTGATTAGCACCCATCTATGTGGAAGGATGAATGTGATGTAATCATTCTCTAGAAGTTATGATGTTATTATCAGATGGTAGTAAAACTGAATTGCTAGTGTGTTTTGTTAACGCTGATGGTTTTAACATTACTTCATAGCTACCTTTGAATTGTCTGGTCATGCCGGGCTGGTTGATGGCTGACTCCGATAAGTGATACAAGTGGTACCTGATGATATCTTTTGTCAAACTCTAGCACTCCAGTCATTAACTAGTTGTAAATGGAATAGTATTAGTACTTATCTTAAGGCAAAATCTCAAAATCGTACAGTCTTGTTCTTTTATTTAAAAGAAAGAATATTCTGTGCACAATCTTGGAACTCTGTGCGGCACAATCTTAAAACTGTGTGCTGTAGTTTTTTTTTTTTAAAAAAAAGAAAACTATGTGCTGTAGGACGTTTTGTGTTTATATCAGACTACCAAGAAAAAGAGAAGTGAAATTTTACGCATTTCCGTGCCAATATACCCAAGTTGCTACAGAGTACAGAGGATACTCTGACTCATACTCTCTACGTCCATTTGATATTTTACTTAGTCAATTTTTTTAACATGTAATCAAATTTATAGAAAAATATATTAATATTTTCAATATAAAACAAACATATTATCAAATTATATTTAATGTTAAATTTAATGAAACTAATTTAGTGTTGTAGATGTTACTAATTTTTTCTATAAATTTAGTTAAACTAAAAAAATTTTAATTAAGAAAAAAGTTAGACGTTATACAGTATGAAATGGAGAGTATCTCCCAAAGTTAGCACGGGAGGAAGTCAACTCCAACTCTCCAGTGAGAGCCAAAGGAGGCATTTTTTGAAGGCACGATCGACTGACTGGTTCGAAACAATGACACTACTTTAGGATATTTTTGTTGGATCAGAGGAAGTGAAAGTTTATAAAAAAATTTCATTTGACCATTTCCAAGTTGCTATTGTTTGGAGTGCACCAGTTTCTCTATAAAATGGGCTGATCGATCTCCCAAGGTTAGCTTTGCAGGAAGAGCTTGGTCCTACCACAGAGCTCGAAAAAAAAAGTGCTTTCGAGTAGACACGAGTCACACGATCGAGTGACTAGCATGGCCACAATCAGAGGCAAATTTGGGATCATCATGGTTGCGATGATCTTGGTCGTGCGCATCATCGCCTTCGCATCTGCCAGTGACAACGACGAGCTGCCGGCGTTGTTCAACATCCTGCAACAGAAGCCCGGGAAGGCTGCACAGGTCGGCTCCGACTGCTTCGACGAATGCTGGAGAGACTGCATCCTAGGGACACCGTTTACGAGTTTGTGCGACCAGCTATGCTATCAAAAATGCCTTGTTGGTTCCCGGAAGATCTGAAGCAGGCGCTTGCATTAAGGTTGGTCAGATGCATCAGTAGTGTCTGCGCTGCGCATCTGCGTTCAGATAACAGCATTGCGATCATTTGTTTCGTCAGTAAATTGAGTATAATAATTTGGCATTAGCATGCGTCGTCTCTACGTATACATGAGTTTGCTTTAGTTCGAGCATTCACAATGTATAATTCCGTATGGGTATTAAGGTGGGGTCCACAATATGGATAAAGCAATGAAAAGATCTGTGCAATGTATGGAGCCCTTCCAACTCTAAAAATGGGATCCACAACCATATAATTATTTCGTTTTTTTCTCTTCCCTATCAGTGCTCTCGTTACTTTGCCTGCAACATTGTAAAAAAGAATTGTTATTTTATTTGGAGTGTCCGTCCTCACGTGAAGGGCCGATTTATTAGGGCTAGGGTATGATACCGCCGCCTGCAATGTATAGAGCGTGTGCTACAGTGAAAAGATTCTCTTAGTACCCTTGTTAATTCACACATTGCAGGTGCTCTTAGTACCGCTTTTTTCTTCGAGGCTCCAATAAATGTTTCGGCTGTTCAAGCCGTCATGGTACTACCTCTACTATGCTGATATCGAGCCTGTTCACTTTGATATCATTTTCAACCATACTATTTTTGGTAAAGTTGCTAAAAAGTGTCTTCGTTTAATTTGTTGCTAAATTTGATAAATACATAAGAAATCTTGCTAAAATTTTGGTATTGCCAAAATTTGGTAAGGTTTATTTTGGCTACAATCTGAACAGGTCCATCGTTTTGCCTTCATGGATCAATAATTCCCTGTGTTGGACAGATATGCCTTCCTTTTCCTTGTTTATGTCATTAATTATATAATAATGTCCTGATGTGTGTTTGCATTTAACCATTTAACATGAAAGAACACACCGACCCGTTCATCCGCAGCAACTCCTGGTTGGCCTTTAGATAACGTATTTAGAGATTAGTAATGATTTAGGCTCCATTTAAAAGCTATGCGACAAACGAGAGAACGTATTTTTTAAGATAAAAAAAATACTTTCCCTTGATTCTAGACTTACAACTTGCAACCATTATCTAGCTCCTTTGTGCTTCTGGGCCTCGCCAAACCAGCTTATGCCTCCCGATGGTCACGGTGAAGCTATGGAATGCCAACCACAAAAGTAGATCACCATCAACTTCTAACTCTGGCTTAATCCTCAGCCAGGCGAATAGGATCGAAGTTAGAGTAGGTGTTGTTTGCTTCGAGAGGGTGGTTATGGCCACTCTGGACGTTTTGGTGTAGCCGCGGGCGGAGAGCCCTAGCTTCCGGCGTCCCGCGCGCTCCCCATGGATCTGAACAAAGCGACACTCTACTTTCATGAGGCCACTGGCCCTTCCGCCATGGCAGAATCATCGGAGCTCCGATGATAACTTGTTTTGTAAAACTACGGTCGTTATTAACGGGAGAGTGAATATGGACTAGATCCTGATTAATATAGGGTTTTTTTTGAGATATTATGTATCAGGATTATTAGGGGCGATCAGAAATTTTGCAAATTGCTCAAACTAAAATCCTAGCTATTGGTTTTTAGAATACGTAAAAGCTCTGCGTATCTTTTGTGTCAAGGAGAGAGGAGTTTTAAACCTTTACAAAGTATTGGTTGAGAAAACAAAGGAACACAAAAGGAAAGGAAAAAAAAAGAGAAGCGTGAGCCGATATGCGACAAGTTTGGCGATCGATAAGCGGGAGGCTCCTCAGATGGGCAGGCCGACCGTTGCTTCTTCCGTGGCCGCACTTGCTACCTCTTTCCACGATTTCCTCTCATTATTAAACACCATATTGTTTTGTTTTGTTCCTTTCAAATGTCCAGGCTACCAAGATGACAATGGTGTCAAAGCATCTCCTATTTGCTTTGTCAACCTTCTTCCTAGCGTCGCACCACCACTCAATGAAGCAAGCATTGTTGGAGGGGAAGTAAAGGGGCTGTCAAATGGTGTGGAGCTTGGATTTGGGGCAGTCGAGAAGGATGTGGTCGATGGTTTCTTTTTGTTAGTCACAGAAGACGTAGGAGGTAGGGTGTGACAGCCCTCTTGTGCTCAGCATGTTCGCCATCCAGCAGCGTCGGTATGCCACAAGCTAGGTGAAGTATTTGCACTTTGATTGTGCCGAGCTCTTAATACTAGCTATTAGTAGCTGTAGAAGATTTTCAAAATGTCTTCTACCTACTATTCCATCTATCCAAACCATTATTATTTGGATTAAGATAGCAAGTAAAATTAAATGGAGGGTTGAAGAAGTTTGAAGTTGTCATATTTTCTATCACAAATTTTAAACGCTGTAAGTAATAAAATTATTGGTAGCTATCCCATTTCTTTCAAAATGCCCCCGGCAACCGGCGCTTATGCCTGTCGCCGTCTACTCCGACGGCCGCCTCGTCGCCGCCATGGTCCGATCCCTAGCAGGCACCGCCTCTCCCCTCCCTCGAGCTACATGTTGCCACCACCTCACAAGAAAAAGGACAATATATACCACTCCATTCGTTGGGTTTCGATAAAATGCCATCCACTACGATGCAAAAGATAAAATGCCACTCAGTAGGTTATCTTCGGTATATTTTTGCCGCTTTGAGAAGGCTTAAGACTAAAATACCCCTGTTGTGGAGAGAGAGGAAGTGAGATAGAAGCCGGACGGCGGCCGTGGTCGCCGGTGGCGAGCACGCGTGGGGCGGGCGGTGGAAGCCTGACGGCAGTGGAGAAAGAGGAAGAGAGAAGGGAGCCGGACGACGGCAGTGGTCGCTAGCGGCGAGTGCGCGGGGAGGGGGAGGGACGGTGGAGAGAGAGGAAAGGAGAGGGGAGCCGGACGGCGGCCGTAGTTGCCGGCGGCGAGTACACGGGAAGGTGGGGGAGGGGCAGTGGAGAGAGAGAGAGAGGAAGGGAGGGGGTGCCGTACGGCGGCTGTGGTCGCCGGCGGTGGTCGCGGGGGCAAGGGCAGGGGCGGGCGGCGAGGACAATGATGGACGACGGGGAAGATAGCGACAGGCGCCCGCCGCTTGCCGCTTACTGGCGTCGCGCGCGCGCATGCACATGTCCTCCTCCCCTCGTAGCCGCTCGCCGGAGCAGTCCTCCCCTCGTCGCGCACTCGTCGCCGGCGACCACAGCTGCTGTCCGGCTCCCCTCTTCCTTCCTCTTTCTCCCCACAGCAGGGTTATTTTAGTTTTAAGTCTTCTCGAAGTGGTAAAATATCCCCAAGATAACCTACTGTCATTTTATTCTTTACATCGTAGTGGATGACATTTTATCTAAACCCAGCGAATAGAGTGGCATATTATCCTTTTTCTCCCACCTCACTGCCTCCCGTATCCCGAATCCTACTACCATCCTCCTTTTCGTCCTATCCTCTCCCAGACCATGGGGATGGAAGCGCCAGATCTACCGGCCCCTCCGAGGTACGCGCCACTCGTCAAACTCCCCTTTTCTTTTTCCAGTACCCCAAGATCTGTCACCACCGCCTGCCGCCAAGTTCTAAACAATGCAGGATTGAGGTGGAGAACTGCTTCTCCCTCTCTGAAAATACAGGGTCCATGGTGGACATGATCAATGTCGCGGCACGATGTGCCTTTTTACTTTGTGCAAGTGAGATTTCATATGATGTTGGAGAACGCTACAATTTCGCGAGCATTCTGCTTCATTTCAGATACACCTGTTGCTCACTGCACAAACTCCTGGTAATTCCCATGGCATCTGATGTGTTAGTAGTGTGGTATGATGCTTCATGAATTTATACTAGTACTAATGTGCTAGTGTTAGTTATAGAATGTTTATTCATCACCCGGTTCTTTCCAGAAAATATTGTACAGCTTATACCCAATCTTATGGCTTGTTTTCATCTGGAGTGCTCAAGCCTCAAGGGACATACATGTATTACTGCTACTACCACCACTTAACAAGTTACATACTCATTTTCATCTGAATCACAATTCTAATACTTGTTTCTTATGCCCAGTCAACACTAACTTAAACCAGTTACCAGACTGAACATTAGATAACAAATGTCCCAGCTCCCTTATCATACTAGTGGTTAATCTCTCACACGTCATATTAACTTAGAAAGATGCTTTAAATGATAACCAAGTATTACAACTGGTGCCTGATACTCTGATAGAAACCTTTGTTACATTCTAGGACTCGGATAAATGACATCATCTATTATCAACAAGGGATAACTCTTCTGTAGTAGGATATGGATATCCATGTGAGGTCATCAGAGTAGCAAGTTGATGGATCATCGCCATGATGCTATTGCTGCATACGGAAGATGACCTGATTTATCTATAAATGATGCAGTGGTGCTGATGACCAATGCCATCTCTGCATCAGTCAGGTCCAAGTGAAAGCGAAAAAAAGGCTTTTCAGAAGACAAGATCAAGTGACTGGACGGTCACAATGAGAGCAAACTCGGGACTTATCTTTGCCGTGATGATCCTGATAATGTGTGGCGCATCTGCAGCTTCCAGTGACAATGATGAGCTGGTGGCACCGTTCGACACATCCAATGGCCTGAGAACGCTGTGAACGGCCACTTGGGCTGCTACCCCGGGTGCTTCAGAGACTGTGTTACAAGGATGCCTGAATGCTGTTCTGTGAGGAAATTTGCTGTCAGCATGGCCGATCTCCTTCGGTTCACGCATCAGTAATTCATCTATTTGCGTTCAGATAACGTTGTGACCATTTCTTTCAGTAGCAGTAGCTTGCGTCGCTCTCCGCATGAGTAATCTTAAGTCTTTGGCAATTCACTGTAATATATACTAATATGCTCTTCCGCGGGGTCCCCCATTTTAATTCTTCAAGCCGGCGAGGTGTGTAATAGATTGGGATGGCCTATGGCCGTGATCTAAGGGCAGTTGATGTTTGTGAATTCAGACTGTTCCTGTCGATGTCATGGAACGCATTGTGGACTTGTGCTTGGTTGTATGAGGTGATGTTTGATTCACTAGCAGTCACTGTTGGTTAGATGCAAAAGGATAAATGGCGTCTTGCATTGCTGACCCCTTACTGGTTGCAGTCCAGATGTAAAAAAAAAAATGCAGATGAACTTAGAAGACCTTGGACAAGGATACCAAACTTTAATACCCATGTGTGTCAATTACTCCATTCTGATCTGAAGATTGACTTTGCAGTTTGCAATCTTGCTAAACTGAAGATAGCTGTAAGTATGGTGAAAGAAAAACAAAAGCTAAAAAAAAGATGTTGTCCGGACTGCCATGTGCATTGTATTCTACAAGGCGGTTTTTGCAGGGAGATAATAGAGGTGCACACAACTCGAGTATTCTGAACTCTCGCATATGATGCAAGTGGCATTCGCGAGTTACTTAGTGCGATGACCACAGATCTCGAACCAATGATCCATTTTCTTTTTATAACTATGATCCAATGATCTGCAACCATAGATGTATTCCCATGTTACCTGATACAATAAGATGTGTCAGTTCATCTATATAAGACATCTACAGTAGTAAGACGAAAGGGAGCCAACTTCTGTAGAACAGTATTAGAGAGGGTCAGTATTGCTCATACAACTTGTCCTATATGGCCGTCACTACAACGGGATCAAAGGCCATCGCGGTCGCCTTCTTGTGCATCGCCTGCTTCGCCCTTGCAGCGGGCGCCGCCGCCGACGCGCCGCGGTGGCTTCACATCAATGCCGCGCGCGTCGGCACGAGCTGCATGGAGTGCGTCCTCTCCTGCATCTCCGGCGGGGGCCTACTCGACGTGTGCCGTTCTCTCTGCGAGGATTTATGCGATGATCCAGAAGCCTTCACAGTCGTAGGTAGCAGAAGCAGTAGTCACTGAAACATCGAATGGCCCATCTCTGCCAGTATTCAGATTGCCGTCGCAGTATCCTCAGGTCCATCTTAACTTGCCAGCTCTGTCCGCTATTACTGGTTTTGGATCCTGGATGAATGAAGTGATGTATTTGCTGGTTCTCCTGTTTATGCACTGTCGCATCATGGCCGTGATGTATCATGTATGTGCCCTGTTCGATGTGTGTGTTTGACTGACAATGCTAGATTTGCCGAGCCAAAGATGCCTCCGACTTGACCCTCTAGAAAGGCAGAAACCAATTTGTCACTACAGATCTGCAGGCGCTGCATGCTAGCAGCACCGTAATTTACAGATAAAAAAAATATGTGTTCAACCTTTCTCAAATCACTACAGAGTCTGTAACTGCTTGGCTGATCAGTTTGGATGCACGGACTCAAGTCAATCAACATCCATTCTGATCCCAGCGACAGAGCCACTACTTGGCTGATCAGGCAATTTACTCTTGTGTTTCAATAGTTGTAAGAATCGATCTACTAGTATCATTACCTGGTCGAGATTCGAGAGACACGATGAATAAATACGTAGTACGGCATAGTGCTCGAGGCCAGGTAGCAGTTGTTCGACCTGTGCGGATAGTTTCTTCAGAAAGAGAATCCAAGAAACAGGCATATTCGCAGGCGCATCGTTGCCAACCGCCCGGAACAAACGTCAATCAAGTTTGTCCTACGAACGCTTCACTCCTCGCCTCCCCGCTCCGCGTTCTTGCGGTGGATTCGCATCTTGTGAAATGCGAATCCAACCGAAGGAGAATCGGTTCTACAAATGTTCGCTTTCGCCTGAATCCACCACAATTGCGTGCATGCCCAACTCGAATTCTACGAGGAATCGGAATCATGAACCTCTCAACCACGATTACTTGTCAGTTGTCACCAGGCAGATAACAAGCACATGCGTGTAACACCTCAAAAACAGATTCTGAAATGCGAATTCCAAAGCCAAGTGGCTACCTGTACATCGCAATCACCAGGTCGGTTCAATGTTAGCAGTGTGATCACGCATTCACATATATGAGACCCGTGAGGCCGTGACAAACATACTGAACATATGTTGGAAATATGGTCATAAATCGATATATTTTAATCCAAAATGTTAAGACAATAATCATGATATAAACAGTGTAGTGTGATCCAATGACAACATGTAACATTACTAGTAGCATACTAAAGACATCATGAACAACATTATGAATATCAGGAATAAGAACATAGCAGTAACGCAGTAACATGCTAGAGGCATCATGAATATCAGGAACAGGAACATAGCAATAAAGCGCTAACAACGAGAACAGGAACAGGAGAAGGATATACCCTGAGAATGGCCCTCCGCTGGATTGTGAGGCAGAACTGCCTCCGTTGGCATTGTTGTTCGCGGCACCGGCTCCAGCTCCTGGCGCACCACCTCCAGCTCCAGCTCCAGGTGGCGCACCACTTCCGCCATCTCCTCCAGCAGCAGCAGCGGCGCCAGCTCCAGGCGCAGACATGGTGGGCGAGGACGAGGACGAGCAGTCGTGCGGGAAGCACTCCCCAAAAACCTGATCACCTGCCTACCCGGTACGCAGATCTCAGGCGAAGGTGTGGTTCCGGAGGCCCTGCTCCTTCCGATCTCTCGTGCACGCAAGCGATCAGAAGCGAGGAGGCGAGAGCAGCACAGGCGCGGAGGAGGAGGAACTAACACCCGGGAAAGAAACAGCACAGGCGCGGAGGAGAAGGAACTAACACCCGGGAAAGAAGCAAGCGGATCGTTCTGATCGGACTCACGGCCTCCTTATCTATCAGGAGAGAGGCAGTCATGGGAACGTGGGATCATGGACGCGCTGTTGTGGAGGCAGTCGATCGGACTCACGGCCTCCTTATCTATCAGGAGAGAGGCAGTCGTGGGAACGTGGGATCGTGGACGCGCTGTTGCGGAGGCAGTCGTGGGAACGTGGATTAGTGGTTGCAAAAGAGTAGCGACGTGACGCACGCACGCCAGCCACGCCTCGCCCTCGGCCTCGGCCCGGTCCGGCGCGCTTGCGCGTGTGGCTTTCCGACCCCCACCTCAACCAGTCAACAGGGAGCCTCCAATAACTCCCTATTTAGGTTGAGATATTCCTCGCTTAAATCCTGAGGTGGTATTATTATCCTTAACACTTATTATGGGCCTTTGAGATTTAATAGGATAAATTGGGCCTAGCCCATTTATTCTAACAATCCCCACCAAATTTCAAGGCTTATAAGAAATGTTCTCAAGGTTGTGCCTGTTTGATATACCAGGGTTTTGGTGGAGACTGTTAAGTTGAACTTCCACCTAGGAAATGAGCTACATCAGACCACAACTGAACAATGGACTATGCCTTGAATTGTCAGTTTTGTGTGATCTGGTTTCACTCAGACCCTTGACTGGTACTGGGCTGCCGTTCGCATCCCCTCTGTTTGGAGCATATAAGTCAAACTCCAGGCCTTTCATGAGTATCTAGAGATCGCCCAAACCTCATAGACTGTGACTAGCAGTCGAACTCATATAGGTGTGTTCCTTCTGAGATGTTCTGCAGGTCAACATCTCTGCTTGGAAAAGCCACTCGGATCACATTAAGGCATGAGCCATCTTACCATGCAGGAAAGAAGAGAAGTACATCATGAAAATGAGCCCTTTTCAAGGGTCTCTTCTCTCAGTCACATAATAGTTTGTTTCGCCATCCAAATTCACGGGATCTCCGATCACAATGGACAGGTTTCCACTATTGTGCGACCTTAGGTGGGTATCAAGCCCATTTCCCTCGATGCACTGTCTATCACATTACGTGGTAGCCCCTTGGTAAACTGATCTGCCAGATTTCTAGCCGTTTGGACATAGTCCAATGCTATCACTCCGGAGTTTTTCTGCTTTCTGACAGATTTCAGTCTTCTCTTGATATGCTTAGATGACTTCATGTTGTCCTTTGAACTGTTCACTTTAATAATCACTGTTTGATTATCACAATTCATTAGGATAGCTGGCACTGGTTTTTCAACTACCGGCAAATCCATCAGGAGTTCACGAAGCCACTCGGCCTCAACTGTCGCAGTATCTAGTGCTGTAAGTTCTGCTTCCATTGTTGACCTCGTTAAGATGGTCTGCTTGCAAGACTTCCAGGAAACAGCGCCACCTCCAAGTGTGAACACATATCCACTCATGGCTTTTATCTCATCAGCATCAGATATCCAGTTTGAGTCACTATACCCTTCTAGTACTTTTGGATACCCGGTATAGTGAATTCTATAGCTCATAGTGCCCTTTAGATAGCGCATTACTCTTTCCAGAGCCTGCCAATGATCATCTCCCGGATTTGAGACAAACCGGCTCATCTTGCTTACAGCAAATGAGATGTCAGGCCTCGTTGCACTAGCCAAGTACATCAATGAACCAATGATTTGAGAGTATCTCAGTTGATCCTTTGCTATTCTTCGGTTTTTCCTTAATAGCACACTGGGATCATAAGGAGTAGGAGCTGGCTTGCAGTCACTATATCCAAAGCGACTCAAAACCTTGTCCACATAGTGGGATTGCACAAGTGAATCCCACCCTCATATCCTCTTTGTAGTTTGATGTTAAGAATAACATCAGCCTCTCCCAAATCCTTCATTTCAAAACTCTTGGACAGATAGTCCTTGACCTCCTCAATCACATTGAGGCTGGTCCCAAAGATCAATATGTCATCGACATATAAGCACAAGATCACTCCTTCTCCCCCACCATAGCAATAGTACACACATTTGTCAGCTTCGTTCATAACAAAGCCTGCAGATGTAAGCGTGGTGTCAAACTTCTCATGCCATTGCTTAGGTGCTTGCTTGAGGCCATACAAGGATTTCAACAGTTTACACACAATTCCCTCCTAACCTTCTATTACATACCTGTCTGGTTGATCCATATAGATCTCCTCCTCCAGCTCTCCGTTTAGGAAAGCTGTCTTAACGTCCATCTGATGGACGAGAAGATCATGAGAGGCTGCCAGAGCAAGTAGTACTCGAATCGTGATCAAGCGAGCAACTGGTGAGTATGTGTCAAAAAAGTCCTCGCCTTCCTTTTGGGTATAACCCTTGGCCACAAGTCTTG